GTCGTGTTTGGTCAAATCCCTGCCGGCGCCAGGTTTGCACAAAAGGGCACATAAAATTCGGATCAGAACTCTGGGTTTTCTCGTTACGAGGATGACCCGTCCCGCTGGGCGGATAGCAATAATTGACATCTTAGACCTGGTGGATACTTACCATTCCGAGTAAGCTAATAAAAACTATCTACCTATGTGTCAGCCAGTGATAGGTCACAGATTCTGAAGCTAGAGCTAAGGTTTCAGCATGTAGAGTGCTAAAGGACCAGAGCGACGGCGTAGTGTCGGTTCTGCATGGGTCATGCAACTGTAGGGGGCTACGCAACAGGATAGCTAATAAATTTCAAATAGGGGGAAAACAAGCAGGAGGTTTGGACAGTCGCAACTGGCATTCTGGGTGATGGGTTGTCGCCGAGCTTGTGGCGGTGACCAGAAGATGGCGCAACACGGTCCCGAGATGAAGGTCGTGTTGGAAGTTGGGAGCTGCTGCATGCAATTCCCGCTTCGCTTTCTAGCTCGCGGTCTACTCCAGGCGATTGTGTACCGCGATTTGCAAGCCCAAAGGAACAGTCTCATTCGTTGTGGATTGACCTAGACATCCTTCGTCTCGGGTAGTCTGCCGGTAGAAGATTCCAAAACCCAAGTCTTCTGCGGGCAGGTTGGTGCATGTGAGAATGCGTTGTCTCTTGTTGCAGACGCTGCAGCTGCGAGGACGAAGAGTCGAGATGTGGTTCGCTTGATGGGGTTGAAAAGAGGCCGCGCTGGCCGTTACACGGCAGAATTCCGAGAAGAGGACAGGTCACATTAGGATCTGCATGTCGCTGATGGACTTTTTGTACTGTTTAAAATCCTCAGTTGTTACTTGATCTGAATGGGGAGAAAGACGGGTGCCTGCAAGGGTTCAAGGGTGAGATGAGATGCCCTCCTCATCGAACCGAGAAACTGGGTCATTTTTCTTTTTGAGGAAGCAAGGACTTGATGCTCAAATCATGAGGGTGCAGAGCAGTACCGTGGACGGAGTACAGACTAAGAGTGAAAGGCGTCAAGCAGGACCAGAGCAGGACCTGCACCGACACCAGAGGTGAGAAGACAGTTGTGTCGGGTGGCCGGGTGCATGGGCCCGGCCGTCATGGTGGTACAGAGGAGGCCAAAACCAGACTGCTGGGTCGCTTCTGTGGGTTTGAATCACATGGGCATGGGAGGTCTGGGTATTCTATCGGTACCGAGTAGGGACGTTGGTAGCAAGAGGGGGTACTGGGTAAGGAGGTGTGTGTTGCAGAGTACCTAATATCAGTTCACGGGAGCAACCAACAGCTCTGGTTAGCCGCGGGCCTGGTGGGGATCGAGGGTAGCTTCCAATGTTCTGTGCTGCTAGGCTTGCTGCTTGTACAAGGAGGTAGGCAACTAGAAGCGGGATCCAAACTGCTGGGAACCCAGTCATCGCCAGTCAACGCCTGTCACGCCCCGTCCTGCCCCGTCCATGGAAACATTTCTATTAACCAACTGCTGGCTCTGGCTTCGTTCTAGCTACTGACGCCAACCCCAACACCGGCAATCCGGCTCGTGCCTGTGATTCGACGAGTGGCATGGTCTTGCATGGTTTAGGATTTGTCCGACACGCACCGAACACGGAGTCGACGGAGTATTTGATGAGGTACGAGGTATGCTCTCTTTTGCTGCTAGCAGCTTGCATATGTCGGTGCGTCTGCCCTCCTTTTTTCCTTCCATTCAGTTTCTCTTGGCCTCCTCTCTCTCGTCTTCCTTACAAACCATTCTCCTCCTCCATTAGAGAACCGTCCGGCTGGTTCCCCTTGTACGACGCCGCTTAGTCCTTCCATTCACACCTACTTTTCAAGCCCAGTCTGCATCTCCACCTTGTCAGTCGTCATCGAGATTTTATTCTCGGTTTCTCTTCCCGGTTCCCCATTCCCGGTAACAGCCAAGTGGACGCTTGGAAATTTAAACAGATGCATCCACCCTCGTCTTCATCCTCTCTCGTATGATAACCCAACCGCTAAGCCCTTTACTTGCCCCAAGGTTATGACCCTAATCCATGCCTCAATGTCCTCTGCCTCACTTAGTGATCCATTTTCGTCCCCACCCCGTGCAACCGAAATGCCTCGCAGTGGGATTACTTTTACGAGACTTCTGTTGGCCTAGCCTACTAGTTGCTTTCGAACTGCTCAACCCAATATGCCTCCGAGTACTCTCTCCCTCTCTCGTGTCCCCGTCGGAATTTGCCTAATACACTTTCCATCTCTTCTGGTTCAAGAATTTAAATTTCAGCACATCTCTTCCGCGCCTTTTTTCGGTGAATTTTTATCTTTTTTTGGTGACCCTGACGGCTGACATTCGGTACGGTTGAGTCCCCGAGGATCATGCTTGTAGGCGATTTGTTCGGTTGAATAAACAATGGAGGACCTCAATTTGCTAAACAGCATCCCCGTTGATGAGGGATACGGTGGATTCGAATACCTGGAAGAGGAGGAAGCCAGTTCGGCATACTCGGTCGCCTCGTCAGTCTACAATTTCCGTGTCGAAAATGGTCGTCGATATCACGACTACAAAGATGGACATCCCTTCCCCTATGATGAAGTTTCGGAGGAGAATGAACAAGTGTTGCACGCAATGATCCTACTTCTCTTCGACAACAAATACTTTGTGTCTCCAATCGACGAGTCCGCCCTGCACTGTGTTGTCGATGTCGGTACCGGCCTGGGCCTGTGGGCCGAAGGGGTTGCTGAAAGGTACCCGCACGTCCAGGTCGTGGGCATCGACACAATCATCCATGAGCGCTCACTTCAGCCAAATTGTTCCTTTATTCTCCAGGACGCCACGGACGAATGGGTCTTGGACGACCCCTCGATGAAATTTGACCTGGTCCATATCAGAAACTTGTTTGTGGGTGTAAGAGATTGGGATGCATTATACGCTCAATGCTTCCAGTGAGTCTGCCATTGCCACACACTATAACCCACGCCTTCTTCCCCTTGCACCCTGCTGACAGGGTACCATCTACTGACCGGACTAGGAAAATGAATTCGGGTGGATGGATCGAACAAGCCGAAATGGAGATCGACGCTCGTACCGACGACGGATCCGAGCTACCAGACAGTCAGATTGTGAAGCTATGCAAGTTTGTCGACGATATGACCGCTGCCACGGGGAGAGATTTCCGTGTCTCCTCCAATTTGAAGAATGCGATTGAGCAAGCCGGCTTCATCGACGTCCAGGAGCAGAGAGTAAAGCTTCCTTTGGGTCCTTGGGCTTCCGACCCCAAATTCAAAGACATCGGAAGGTTCTTTGAACGATTCTACAAGACCGGTCTTCAAGGCTGGCTCCTTCAAATTTGCATCCGATACTTTGGGGTGAGGAAAACGGGGCTCTCCCCTTAGCATATGAAGCCCTAGACTAACGTATCTGGGCATGCACAGTGGACACTGAAAGACGTGAACGACGCCTGCATAAAAGCATTCCAAGAGATCAACTCCCGCCAACAACACATGTATCTTACACTGTAAGTTCTTTCCCCTCCGACCGCCCCGACAGAAAAAGCTCCCGCTGACGACTCCTTCAGAATCATTGTTATCGGCCGAAAGCCTTGAATCCTCATCTGTCTACTGTTCCCCCCCTCATATTGTTACACTCGACACACACCGGTAGTTCCGATCCAGGCGTCAAACTAAGTCTACCATGGTCATTAGGACCGGCTTCGCTGTCAACCCTCGAGCCAAGAGCATGGATAACGGATACAACAAGACCAGGCAGGCATGTCGACGTTGAGATCAAATCCTATGCTTACACGCAACGCCGGATACAACATAGGCGTAAATACTTGGCAGAGAGCAGAGTCCTCGGCACTCAAACCCCCCCTTCCCGGAAAAATGGAACCAGAGGTCGAGAAATACCGGGTAACGACGTTCACGACGTTCACGACGGACAACGGTGGAGCCATCTTTGAGCGTTTGCGCAACAAGATTTGAGCATTTAGGGCTTTTCTTCCTTTCCTTTTAGCGCCGCTGCAAGCGTCCTGGTTAAAGCTCTCGCACATGGCAATGGTCCAGGGCTCTACCACCTGTATTCATGTCACGACGGCAAAGATCTAACTACTAGATACTACAGTGCCCAGCGGCAAATCTGTTGACTCCTCAAACCCCCGTTTCTGTTTCTAGACCTTGGGCATCCCGCCATTTGACCTGACCTGACCCAACCTGACCTATGTCCCATGTTCATCTGGGCACAGTCCCAGTAATGCAGAAGTTCGAGGATGTACTCGCTCTATCTCGCGACCATTAAATTCACGATCGACAGGGAGATAGTGCTCACTAATCGAGCGGCTCGATCGGTTCCGTCTCCTGTTTCATCGCGAATCTCAATGCCCCGCAACATCACCTCTTCTCCGAGCACTCGATCTATCTCTTTTTGTGGGTTAATATACTCCTCCCTTGTTAGCTTTGGTCTCTTGTATATTAACCATTGCTCGTACTTACACCGACAGCTTGTTACATTACATAGGTAGGAAATGTTGGGCACCGTCGAACTTTTCATCTTGTGCAATTCGTACATGGAAATATAATGCCACTTTCCTTGGCCCTTCCACTTGAACGGAGAGCGGCGAGGACTCGGGCCAAGCACCTTCTCGAACCCAGCGAGCGCCCACAAGGACGTCCTCTCCGCCGCTGCCCCTTTAAGCCAAGAGAGTCTAGGTGATAGATCGGGATGCAGTGTCTTGCCGAGTGGCGCTAAAACTGTCGACGACAGCATTTTTAGTGCACGCCGAGAACGCCTCTGTTCTGATCTCAGGTCACTCGGTGTTGGTGACCTTCCAAGTTGTCCGCACCAGAGTCAGCCTTGTCACAAAGTGGTGAGAATGGAGTCAGGAGACCTCACGCCACTGAATCAGAGCAATAAAATGGAATCTATTTAAAGACTCGATGCCTTTCATGCCTTTCGAGAATTTGTGTTGCTCAGGCAGAAACTGATGTACAGATTCTTGGTCAACCTATTCCATGGATCTCGGCACAGTACGTGACATTCGTGACACCCTCAAGGAAATCTACCAGGCTGTCAAGCGATGGCAAGAAAGCGGTTCGTGGCACCGAGGAATTACACAGCAAATTGCAGCTTTTCAGAAGTCCTATGAAGTCCTGTTACTCGAGCTCCAGCTGAGTCCTCCAGGATCCAACCAGGTGAAAGCAATAGAAGAGATCTTGGCACCAGTCCATCGCAACGTCTGCACTCTACGGCAGACTATCCTCAACCAGGACCCGAATAGCCTGTCATGGAAGTTCAGCTACACATTTATGTCAGCAGGTCCAAATACCGAGGAATTACTTCGACAAATTGACGAGAAGACGAAGCTGGCCTTTGAGACCCTAGGCTCCACGACAAGGTAATGGAGGTCTTCATGCCTTTGAATTTTGCTCAGATATATTAGGGTCAATCTGTTCACGATGAACCAGCGATTCGGAAAGCAACTGGTTCAGCTCAATCGCCTCGCCAGCGAGTCTCTTGAAGTGACAACTGAAACTCAGATAACAACGGGGAGAATATTCAAGCAGCTTGGGATTAATGACAGCGCTTCTGCAAAGAGAATCGTCAACCTGGAGAACCAACTAAAGAAGCAAGGCAAAATAATGGAAGCTCTGCACGCTCGGATGGATCAAGTCATGGAGCTCTTGGAAGAACGCAAGAAATCGGGTATTCCCCCTCCACCGTACAGCCAGACAGAGGGAACCGCCCAGGTTATCGAAAAGATGCTGCCACGCGAAGAGAAAAGTGAAAAGAAACAAATATTTTCCGCCAAAGCCACAACACCAGCATTGGACTGGACCGATTTCTTGGACTCTGGATCCCGCTTCGATTACATCAAACCAGGGCTATCTTCTGAGGGTGCGAAATGCAAGCCAACTACGCAAGCCTTCGAGAAACTTCGAGATAACTGCGCCACAAAGACTACCAAGTCAGTTGCCTTTCGGTCTGCTGCCGAGGGCCACGGCTTCGTTTTTGGGTCCGACGGTCGATTGGACTTGGAGGAGACGCTAAAATCAGTCAACCCATATCCCAGTTCAGTTGCTGGGAGCTACTTTTCGACTGATGTTATGCATTATCTAGACGTGAGACTCCTGGTAACCAAGGCTGTGGAGCTGGGGTTCTTAGACCGGGCCGATTTGATACAGTTTTTAGATAAACCATGGCACGTCATGGAAAGACTCGACCTCCCCCTCAAGACGCCGATCAAGCCTCAATACGCACTGATGATAAATTCTGAGCTGCGCGAAGAAGTGGTCCAGAGATTGACTGGAAGCGTCTTTGGGGGCCTGTCGAAGTGTTGACATTGGCTGCATGCACGGACTGACTACAACATCACGGTGGACGACACTTGGTTGGAGAATGTTAATATCAGCTATCAGTAAACCACGTTGGTGCCTTCTAAGGATTCTCGGCTCAATTAAGTCTGGAGAGCTGGGAAGAGTCGACCTCCGCTGGTGCAAGCGCAAGCCGGATCGATCGACCCCTTCATTATCGAGCTGTGACGTTGGACGATCGAGTTATCCTCCCACACAAAAAGAGCGGCCCCCTCCACAACCTTCACCACCTTCACTGCGAACAGACGATCTCGATCCTTCAATCGGTCGAAGACCTTGAAGCCCTACTATCACGACAAACTCCCAGTCGGGGATGGGCGTGACAAATGTATGACCAAGATGTTGCGGGGGAAAAACAGCATCACAGATGCAGATACTATCCAGAAAGCGAAGAAAACTTGGAGAATGGGTAATCATCGAAGGTAAGAAAAGGAGACTAACTCGCTCTACATAGAATGATAACGCGATGGTGAGAGTAGTACCTCGTCCTACCACCACCAACACTTTGGTGAGTGATGCCACGCGCCACCAACGCGAAGCCGCGTTGCTTGCATTCGTCAGCGGCGGCTGATGCCTGAAATAAATCCGATGCTGGCGTTCTCCACCATTTGTCTCCCCCCCGGGACCCTTGACATAGAAAAGGAGCGGGAACTTAGACTCTCAAGGCTAGACCATGTCTGCATTGGTTGCGCACCCAGATCCTCCGTTCGGTAGATGAGTTTCTACCGCGACGGGTCAATTGTACTGGTAGTTCTTACTTCCGTTTTGGCCCATCCTTGCCCATCGCTTCGAGATCCTTCGACTTGGAGGCTTGCAGGGGAATGGGATCCATTGCACATCCTCCGAAAGCCAACGATTGAATGTGTTTGGTCAGACCTGGTGCTTGAGCATAAGTGATCCTCATAGTCCAGGCTGTTCATGTAAGCTCGGGCGCCAGGAAGAGTAACCCATGCATTTCAAATGTCTGTCGCGCAATAAATAAATATTCGGCAGTCCCCCGTCGTCCACCATCTGTGTTGTTGGACTAGTTGCTGGTTGGCGACACCATCTTGAACTGGGAAAGCGGAACACACCTTCACTTTCTCGTCTTGTTCTTTTATTTCCAAAAATCGAGTGTATGCATTACAGAGACGCAACAAGATGAAAGAGAAGCCTCGCCTATCCGGGGGTGATTACTTCCGCTTGCTCTACGCCATGACTCGAGCCTGTGAGTCGTCCACCTTGTAATCCGTGCGATGGCCGAGGAGGACTAATGGAGGGTGTTACGACAGTGGGCACATTGACCTTCACCACCCTCACCGGCTGGTCAAGGGACAAGGATTGTCCCAAAGACTACAAGCGGCATGTCTTCTACAGTACTTGCCGATCGCTCTTCTCGCACTTGTCGGTCAAACAGATGCAGGCCATACAGCCAACGACGGTTGAGGGCTACGAATCGTTTGCGAAGAAGAAGGGCTTCGACCTTGAGCTTGTAGAGTTGGATGACGGCGCGTCGGGGTGCTGCATGGGACCGAAAACGGCCAAGAAGACGCTGCTGTGGTTCCATGGAGGCGGATACACCTTCCCAGCGTCGGATCAGCACTGGGTGATGCTCTGGGATCTCGTCGAGCTGGCCAAGAAGAATGGCGAGGAGCTGCGGGTCATGGTTCTGGAATATGAGCTCACGCCCTATGGCCATTATCCATTGCAGCTCAAGCAGGCGGCCGCGGCGGTCAAGTATTTATTGCATTCGGGTCTGCAGCCTTCGCAGGTAAGTGCACAGTTTCTTACCCGGCATCACCCTGGGATCACCCTGGATTTGATCTGACGCGGATTGCCCACAGATCCTCTTCGGCGGCGACTCAGCCGGTGGAAACCTCGCTGCGGCATTGATTAGCCATCTGTCGCATCCACATCCCAGTGTATCGCCCATCTCCCTCTCTAGCAACCTGGGAGGGGCTCTCTTGATTTCCCCATGGGCCTCATTTACACAAAAGAGGGAGTCATGGAAGAAGAACTTCAAACGAGATGCGCTGGTGCCCGCGACAGTGAGGGTCTGGTCCGATAACTTCATGGCCCAGTCACCCCAGGACAACTGGAACCATCCCGCTGAAGCGCCGGCTGAATGGTGGAAAGATATCAAGGTGGACAATGTGGCTATTGTTGGGGGACAGAATGAGATTCTGATGGACGACATTCGGGAGGTCGCTGAGAAGATCAAGGTATGTCATTCCGGTTTGAAGAACCCGAAGGTCAGAGCTGCCGGACGGCTGATGTTGAGGTCCAGGTGCACAATCCCACAGTCGATTTCCTGGAAGCCCCTGGTGAAGCTCATGATGCCATCATCTTGGATAGGACGTTTGGGATGAAGGACGAGTTGGCATCGGAGCAGTTTATCGACAAGTGGATTCTGGCCCGGCTGAAGTAGGGGCATGGCGGCGCAGAGCGGAGTATCGTAGAATACATACTGCGTAGACAGTAGTAGAGTACATGGGGAGGACATGGAAATGGAAACGAAAATGCATTCATCACGCAACCTGTCTAGGAATTTGCCTAGTGCTTCTGGTGGGAGATTGATTTCTGCTGTGTTGCTCGTGATGGGCAGCACTGGACACCAGCCTCACTCGCCTCACTAATGGCGATTGGTGCCACTGAGCCACCATTCGTTTCCTCGTCCATACAGGACTCAAGACTCATCCCCAAATCGCCACGTCCACCCAGAAAAGACGGAAAGAAAAGAAACGAAAAAAACTGGCCCGCGTGCATCCACCAATTCAATTGTTTTCTTCTCCTAGAAACTCGCCAATGGGCTGATAGCGGCGGTCGCTCCCAAGTTCAACTCAAAACTTGGTCTCGGCTCACAAAGCCAGCAATGCCTCACTAGCCTTACCCAGATCCCACCACGACCCATCCCTTTCCCGTGAACGAGCTGTGAAATACTTTCATCATTCGCTGTCCAACCTTTTGCCTTGTGTCGTATTGTTTCCCCCCGCGGACCCCTACAGACCCCTACGGCCTCCAGTGCCACCCCAGCTCTTCTAAAAAAGCAATTACGCCCTCCATCCATGTCGAATGCGCGGGTCGCAGCCTCGCTCCTCACCCGCTCATTCGCAGTTCCGTAATCCTGACATTCGGCCCTTTCACTCAGAAACCCTCGACTCTGCCACGGCTGGCGGTCCCTCCATCGAACTCGCAACCTTCACTGGCGCCGATTCATCAAGGAGAGAGAGGGAAAGAGCCAGAGACAGGCACGCAAAACAGTCGCAGAAAAGGCTCGTCAAACTCCAACAGCTCGCCGATCGAGACGACGAGATGAAGTTCTCCCACAGTATCCAGTTCAACGCTGTTCCCGATTGGAGCAGCAACTACATCTCCTACAGCAACCTCAAGAAACTTATCTACACCCTTGAGAAGCAGATCAACAGGCCGCCGGGCGAGACACAGCCGCAAGATGAAGAAAGCACCGCTCTGCTGGGCGGCTCGCTCGATCCGGACACGACGTTCAAGCGCATGCTGGACTCGGAGTTGGATAAAGTCTGCTCCTTTTATAGGTTAAAAGAGCTGGAGATCTTCGGCGAACTCGACCAGCTTCTGAAAGATGTCGAGAGCTACAAGGCCGAGACGCATGATCTGGACATGGACGAGGTGGTCGAGGCCGAGAATCGTCGGAAGGCCGTCCGGTCGTCGAGTATATTTAACGTGCCTTTCCGTCGGCGGAGGAGGACGTCGACCATGAGCATCAGTATGGAGGAACCCGAAGGCGAGGATGACAGCGATAGTGACGCTGAAGACAATGCTGCCATGATCAGGAAGAAGGCGCCTTCGAACCGGCCAAGGAGTAAAAGCACCTGGAACACAGACACATCAGACCATTCTGCACTTGCCGAATCTCGAGAAGACCTACGAGCGCCAGACTCACCCGTGTTTCTTAGAAGGAGACCGAGCTTGGCCATGGAACTCGAGGCTTCCGACCCGGGTCATCTGTCGTCACTGTACGATTCAGGCATCAATTTGAAAAAGCGCATCATCAGCATCTATGTGTCCTTGTGCGAGTTGAAGTCCTTCATCCAACTCAACCACACGGGATTCAAGAAGGCGGCCAAGAAGTACGACAAGGTGTGTAATCGGGATATCCGAAAGGATTACATGGAAAAGTCGGTCAATCCGTCCTACCCGTTCCAAGAAAAGACAATGATCCACCTGGATGAGAATATCTCGAAAGTGGAAAAGGCCTACGCCGAAGTCGTCACCAAGGGCGATCAGAATATGGCGCGGAGAGAGCTTCGACTCCATCTCCGCGAGCACGTCGTGTGGGAGAGGAACACTGTTTGGAGAGAGATGATCGGCATCGAGCGGAAGGCACAAGCAGCCAACTTCGGTATCAGGCAGACCTTGCTGGGAGGAGTACAGGATCCATCAAAGGCACGACTGCAGGGCGATCGAGAAGCCGTCGACACAAAGGAAATTGTCACTCCCGTGGGTCGGTATAGGTGCCCGAAGTGGTTGTTCAGTGGGACCTTGTTCGCTCTTGTCGGTATCCTGGCGGTGTTCCTTGCCCTGCTTTACATCCCGATCATGAAGAGTCCGGAGCAGCAGAATTGCTTGGCCATGTTGATCTTTGTGTCCTTGCTGTGGGCCACCGAGGTGATTCCTCTCTTCGTCACTTCTCTACTGATTCCTTTCCTGGTAGTCGTCCTTCGCATCATGCGGTCAGAGGACAAACCCCATCACCGACTGAACACGAAGGATGCGACAAAGGCCGTCTTTGCGGCCATGTGGACACCGGTCATCATGTTGTTGCTCGGTGGCTTCACTATCGCGGCAGCATTGTCGAAATACCACATCGCAAAGATGATGGCGACTTTTGTGCTCAGCAAAGCAGGCACCAAGGCTCGCAATGTGCTCATCACAAACATGTTCGTCGGCATGTTCTTGAGCATGTGGATCTCCAATGTCGCCGCCCCAGTGCTATGCTTCAGCATCATTCAACCCATACTCCGCAATCTGCCATCGGACAGTAATATGTCCAAAGCATTGATCTTGGGGATCGCCCTGGCGTCGAACATCGGTGGTGCCGCCTCCCCCATCGCCTCACCGCAGAACATCATCGCCCTGCAGAACATGAAACCTTCGCCAAGCTGGGGAATCTGGTTCTTCATCGCTTTGCCCGTGTGCATCCTCAGCATCATCCTAATCTGGCTTTTGTTGGTAATCAGCTTTAAGCCTGGCAAGGGAACCACGATCGTGCCTATCCGACCGATGAAAGATAAACTCAATGGCGTGCAGTATTTCATCATCCTGGTCACGATGATCACCATTGCCCTGTGGTGCGCTTCCCATCAATTGGAAAGTGTGTTTGGCGACATGGGCGTCATCGCCATCATCCCTCTCGTGTTGTTCTTCGGCACGGGCATTTTGACCAAAGAAGACTTCAACAATTTCCTCTGGACCATCATTATCCTCGCCGCAGGAGGCCTTTCTCTGGGTCGCGCAGTTTCGTCGTCTGGCTTGCTCCATTCAATTGCGAGGAACATCACCGAACGCGTGGACAATCTCTCGATATATGGAGTCCTCGTGGTCTTTGCGTCGTTGGTGCTTGTGGTTGCTACCTTTATCAGCCACACCGTCGCGGCATTGATCATCTTACCCCTTGTGGCACAGGTGGGCGAAAGCATGAAGGAGCCGCACCCAAATCTGTTGGTCATGGGGGCAGCGTTAATGTGTTCGGCGGCCATGGGGCTGCCCACGTCGGGTTTTCCGAATATGAGTGAGTCCTTTTCTTTCTATTCGTCTACAGCCGCTTCCCTTGACACGTGTTTGGACTCTGTCGAACGAAGTATCCGGTGCATAGCTCGTATGATTTGGCCGCTAACGGAATTCGCAGCTGCAATTATGATGGAAGTCCCCGAAACGGGAGTGCGGTATCTGCGAGTCAAACACTTCTTAACCCGCGGCGTCCCGGCGTCTGTGATGACCTTTGCCATTGTGATTACCGTTGGGTATGGATTGATGATGGCTGCTGGTCTTTGATTCTGTGCCTACAGCCGACCCGGATACCGCTTCCCTCCTTAAACTCTATGCCCGTCGATCAACGTTCATTTATATATACCCTATTGTTTGTGGAGCATGAGAAGGGGAGGTGGATGGGATTGGTTTGGCCGACACGGACATGACTGTGCAATTCGTAGATTTAGGAAATCCCACGATGTGACCGTTATCCGGGGTCTTCTTTCTGGATACTCCCTGCGTTGCCGGGGTTTTAAAAGCAACAGGATAACAGGATCTTCTCCTCAGAGTTCAACTAGGATACATGTATAATCGAACCGATTGGACACGGGGTGCGATATCCCCTGAAACTACCTTCTGACTGGCTGGCAGAGGGACGCGACTCTGGACCACCGATATCCCCTGTTTGTGTATGGCACTCTTCCCTCCATTCCTCGCATACAACGATGCAGGGAATGAATGGCTTCGGATACTGCGGTACGTACGGGGTACATACCTACGTGTCTTGTCCCCTATCCCCTTTAGAAGAAGGGTTTTTTTCGGGTGAGTTTGGGGGTGGATGATGTTTCTATTATACACAGTTTAGTAATGTGTTGTGTTGTGTTGTGTTTACAGTATTGCAAGCATTGCAACTATATAACGCACCCGTGATAAAAACATGGCACGGAGGCAAACTCTGCCGGGCGGTTCGGGGGCCACAGGCCGCTACTTATCACTATACTGATGGATACTGGCTAGTCTCCACGTAGAGATGTCCTACACTCCCCGTTGGTGTATCCACACGTGCAAACCTCGAGCTGATACATGATCGATTACATACTCATATATGCAGGCATCTGTCCGGCTTTCTCGATCGTCCCTGCTGTTTTCTTTCGTGAAACCAACAATCTTTGTTCACCTGCACACCGCTTCTGTTCTCTCACTTACCCACCACCTCCCTCCTAGCCCCCGTCATCCTCCTCCGCGAGAACGCAACCTGCGGCGTGCCCGTAAGGTCGTACGCGATTCGCCTTTCCACCTTCTTGGATTTTCCTCCCAAAAGCTTGAATCCGCCCTGCTCCCACATCATCGTCCCGAGAGCCGGGCCGGGGTGGCCGATTGAGAGCGCCAGGACGGCCAGCGACATCATGGCGCCATCGAGGACCATGAACATGACCTGGTCGTTGGCAAGGGCGCTTCCGAAGCCCTCGCTCAGCTCGGCTACTCGGAAGGAACATCGGATAAGGATCGTCACCGTTGCGATGGCGATTGCTAGCGTGTCCCAAGAACTTCAGTGAGCTAGGAAAGTTGAAAACGCGGTCTGTGGTTAAGGGGGGAGAGAGAGATGTTTTGAGAAATCTGCACATTTTGGGAAGGGCCCCGGATGGATGGGGACGGGGATTGGGACTTACCGGATAAGAAAAGTTTGAATGTGAGTCTTTTTCGAAGAGCTGCGCTGTTGCGGTTGATCAGGCCGGGTCTCGTGTGGATGGAGAACACGATCTGGAGACAGATGCCGCAGAAGACAGTTGTGGAGGCCACTTGGCTGGCGAGTCCGGCAATCATCATGTTGATCCCGGTCTGTTCGAGGCTTGGGGAGATGTCCAACGAGGTCAATGCCCCCCCGCCGGCCTGGAGGACAAGGGAGAAAAAGTCACAGCCAACAAAAACGACAGTGATGGCCCGCGGGCTGAGCAGGCTCAGCCGGGTACCGTAGACGGCGATGATCCTCGCGAGGCAGATGTATATCGCGCCCGAGAAGAATGCGGGCCCAATTGTCAGGCCGACCAGGTAGATGATGAAGTAGTTGTTGTTGAAGTCGTCAAAGTGCAGCTGGATTCTGGATATGTAACCCATCATCTCCAGCCCGATTCCTCCCAGCATCCCCACGAGGAACCCCCAAGTCCGATACCGAATGCCCAACAAGATCTGTGCGACGCAGGCGAGACAGAATACGGCGAGATAGAATGCGTTTCCTGCGAGGGAGGGAATGTATCTCAATTGGCCGTAGTCCTCGACGGAGCAGGTGGCGTATGTGCAATTGGCGATGTTGAAGGTCGAGTTCATTGTTAGGGAGATGCTGATCTAAGTGTCAAAGCTGCTTCAGAAGGCGGAGAGGTCATAAAGGTAAGTCTTTTCAAAGAACAGGTCTTCTGAAATTCCCTACCGTTGCTGGAGGCAATTTATACATCTCCATTCTTACCGAGTACCTTCTGAACGAGGAAAATGGGGCATCTAGTCTTCGTAGGGATATGTTTAGCCCTGTGTGACAACAAATTCACCGTGGTGATTGCTACACCTAGTAAGGGTAGGGCCGTTTCTCGCGCTGTGCATTGACATCGTGGCTTCAGAGGCTCTTGGAGAGGAAATGGTAGAGAAATGATGGTGCCTGGCGAGGTTCGGTGTTTGAGTTTCGACCTTCCCCTTTCCGGCATCTGTGGCGGATCCACACTCCCCCTGCTGGGACATGAGAATCCATTCTTGATGTGACCACATCCATACATAACCTCGCGAACTCAAGGACCTGAACAATATGGATCCTCTTCTACTATCGCATCCATCATTCTCGGTCTTTGACTTTGGCAAATGCCGTCCGATTCGGAGCCTCCTGCGCCCCGGAAGCAAAGGACGCGTACCAACGTGCGGCAATCGAAGTACGGCTGCTTTACGTGCCGGTGAGAAGAACTTCAAGGATATCAAATTCGTTCTCGACACGATCTAACCTCCTTGATAGAGCCCGTCGAGTAAAGTGTGACGAGTCCAAGCCCCGTTGCTTGCGCTGCCAGAAAGGTAAACGCACGTGTGAAGGATATCCTGATGCGGCGCCTCGTGGCCCAGACCCGCCCCAAACGGGTGTTGTGCCATCTGTCAAACCAGGCCACGTCGACCATGTCGACAGCGTCAACTTTTTCAAGCCTACTGGACTAGGATCGAACCCTGAAATTGATCGTCTACGTCTTCTGGCTTGTGCCGTGCTCTCACAAGGACGTCCCGGGGCGAGGACAGAGTCAGAGACTGCATTTTGGGGCCAGCTGGTGCCCCAGCTCGCATTGTCCATTCCAAGTGTGAGGGAGGCCGCCGCCGCATTTGGAGCATCCTATGAGCAACAGATGCTGCAAAGAAACTGTGGCGCTGCCAAATTCAAGGCATTGAAACAAATCACGGCGGCGATGGCGAAAATTCGACAAGATGTCTTTGAGCTCCCTCATGGTCCTCTGCCCATCCTGGTGGCGTGCACCCTGTTGGCCTCTGCTGAAACAATCCAGTACCGACAAACTGACGCTCTGCTTCATCTCCGAGGGGCATTTTCAGTCATGAACTCCCGCGAATGGCTTTCCACAAAATCTCTGACCAGCAAAGCCCTTCTTGACGATGATCTCTCGTGTCTTTTTGGGAAGTTGGACCTGCAAGTCATTACCTATGCACTAGGGAACGCGCCAGAGCTTCAATGCCCGGTAGCTGCGCCTGGTATGGATGAAGACGTTACCATGTTCACTCCACAGAAGGCAGACCGCACGCTCTTCCGGACGTTGCACTCGTGTTACAGCTTCGCCACAAGGGCTGCTGAATACAAATATCTTCCTCGTGCAGCCTCTAAAGAGGTGTTGGTGTTGGATCAGAGCCGTCATATCGCCGAGCTGAACAGATGGCTCTCATGTTACCGACAATATTCAAAGAAGGGCCATGGCATCTCGGCGGTCAACGGCCTGCACGGACTAGTGCTCCAGGCGCATTGTCTGAGTGCCCTCATTTATGTCTCGAACATCCTTGAGCCATTCGAGACGGCATATGACAAGTACGCACCACAGTTTCAGCAACTCGTCGAGTGTGTAGAACGAGCCATGAGAGCAAAACCCACCGAGGCCGAAATGCCCACCTTCAACGCTGAAATGGGAATCATCCAGCCGCTCTTTTTCACAGCTATCAAGTATCGCCACTCCGCATGGCGGTCAAAAGCCATATCGCTGCTTCAGGGATGTGGGAGAGAAGGACCGTAAGTTTACCTGGTATCTCGAAAAGACGTTATCGCATTTGGACCAGTCATCATTTTAGCCTTTTGTCCAACTCTGGTCCCGACTGATCATGTTCCACAGATGGTGCGGGTATGTCGAGGCAGCCGCTGCTGAATGTGTGGTTCGAGCGGAAGAGACAGCGGCATCTCAAGCAGCAGCAGATGCCGCCTTGTGCAGAAAATCGACGCCGAGGACCGTGTTTCATCCTCGGGATATTCCCGAGCAAGCACGAATAGCTGGACATTCCCTGTTCGAAGTTCTCGAGGACGCTTCAGGCGCAAAGTGGGCTATCATCGAACTGTCTCGATGTCGCGACATGCATGCAATGCTGCTTGCTGGGCAACCGCAGCCTGACGTCAATGAACATTGGTCAATCTGGAGGGAGACGTGCCGGCTTCGTCTACCCTGACAAGGCGTCTTTTTCGGCCTGCAGAGCAACGGGTATTCGTTGTCAGGTGAGGAAGGCTTCATACACGGAAGAGCATTGACATTCCTTTCGCCGTCGTTTCTCTCTCTCTCTGTTAACTATACAGCAACCCGACTTGAAAATTAAGTGGCCTTCGTTGATAATGAGTAGTCCTTTTGCGTTTAAAAACAGTGGCACTACGTCCTCTACCTACCCCGTTAGCTGTATTCGGTATGGCGACCACTTTGTTATTACTTTGCCTATAATGGATGCAGTGTGTATTTTGGATCAGAGTATGTCGCTGTTCAATTCGACTCGATAGCTCTATTGGGTACAGCAGTATAACCTGTTTCTCAGTGTCATTTCGTCTTGATGGGGACTTAACTGCTGGAACATGCTTGAAGGGAAACGGTGCCTTGAGCTCGACGAACGATCGCACCATCTACTGCCAGCTTCCATGAACACCTTCTTCCCCCTAAAGAGGTCGGCCGAGAAACGTCACTCGTCAGAGACAGTGTTAAGGATCTCCCTTCACCTCTAACGTGTGATCTCGATTCTGAGATGCCCACATCCCCTCCCGGTAGTACCTTCGATGAGACTTCGTGATCTTCCTCAGAGCTCTTAGCAAAAGCTTTGGCGGCGATGTCTCCACGGATATGCTCTATAACAATCTAAGCCCGATTGTTATGGACGAAGGCACAATGCACACGCGGTTGTACAGGAAACGAGGTGTTGGCGGCGATAAATCTCAGAGTTGCTGCTTCGGTGAGATAGACAAACATTCCAGTCTTGACAATAAGGTGTCGCAAAATAGGAACACAGGGCCCGTCATGTCGGAATAAACGTGCGGTCGTCTTGAGCCAAGGAGCGTTAAAGAGCGGTTGAGGAACGTGTTGTCGAAGAGGTAATTTCGCAGAACCTTCTCTCCCTAAACTGGTGAGAAAAGAATGCATTGATTGCAGGTCACACCACAAACAGGTTGATAGTGTAGGAGAACAAGTCCTCGAGTAGTACTTGTAGGGAGTAATGAGGATAAGGAGACTAGTGCCAAGGCTGGACGCCTTGGCACCCATAGCCACCGTACCTCGCTTCTGTCCCGTTGATCCGGGTAAACAACGGCAAAATATGGTGACTTCATATTCATCGTAAAGGCGTAGAGCTATTCAATTCCCATAACTCTTTCCCTTGCATCCCAATCCTCACGACGCCGTTCCCAGGTCCTGCGTTGCGTAGGGGGAACTACTCCGCAAAAGGTTTGACCGGACACACATATCACCGCACACAAGTTCGAACGTCGTAGCGGAGCAAAAGGACTAGTTGTTGTTCATCTGGAGTTTTACTCTTGAGCTGTCCTCTCTCGAGTTGTACAACTCTCAAAATGCCTGAATTACAGATAACCTCTACGCTGCCGTTGAAATCTGGCCACGAAATTCCCGTTCTGGGATTCGGCACCTGCCAAAGCGAGACGTGTACTCAGTCCGCACTCTTTGCCCTCAAACATTCTTACAGGCACCTCGACACGGCCCAAATTTATAAGAACGAGGCAGAGACGGGCGCGGCCATTGCACAAAGCCAAATTGACCCTTCAAAACTATTTGTGTGCTCGAAACTGTGGGACGACATGTACTCCCGCCAAGGGGCTCTTGCTGGGGTCCAAGGCTCCCTGAAGAAGCTCGGACTGGAGTCCATTGACTTGTACCTGCTGCACACACCTCGCCCTGGGCCGTTGGCGAGGAAGGAAGCATGGCTGGGGCTTCAAGACGCCGTTGAGAGGGGCCTGGTCAAGAGTATCGGAGTGTCAAACTGGGCCCCAAAGCACATCGAACAACTCATGACCGAGGAAGGGGTCTACATCGAGCCCGTGTGCAACCAGATTGAACTCCACCCTTGGAACCAGCAGAGGCAGCTCGTGTCGTATTGCAAAGGCAAGGGCATCGTGGTCGTGGCATACTCCCCACTCACGCAAGGGCGACGATTGAACGACGAGACGATCGTCTCGCTTGCTCAGAAGTACGGCAAAACCCCAGCGCAGATTGTCCTGCGGTGGGGTCTGCAGAAAGGCTTGGTGGTGATCCCCAAGAGCGACCGAGAAACGAGAATCATCGAGAACCAGCAGATTTTCGGCTGGGAGATTTCTCACGAGGACACTGAAGTCATCGACGGGCTGGACGAAGGGCAGAAGGCGAATCTGGGCGAGTGGGACCCGTATGCCTGGGATTGAAAGCGTCGCGGTGGTTGGTGACTGAGTGTATTGTTGCGCCGCTGCTGTCTCCAATGCCTGAATTTCGATGGTGAATGGGTTCAGATGTGTGTTGTTGGCTTTCCCAAGTGTCGGTTGCCGCTTAGTATTGCGGGACACTAGTTCCTCGCGGAGCTTGTGTGACCTTCGAAAAGTTCCTCGAGTTTTGGGCGAGGAGCCCGTGGCCCTCGTGCCGTCTGATCAATCCACTTCCTTTCCCTTCACACTCTGCCCTCCCTCCCCTTTCCCCGTCCCGTCGTGCTCTAGCTCAGGCGCCTGTCTTTTGACAAAAAAGAACCTCCCCATCTTTCGACTCTCTTCACCTTCGCCGAGTTCCCAGGGGTCCTCAACCTTGCTCCAAGCTAACGGATCCTCCTTCCACGGCTGGCTGTCCGGCGTAAAGCTTGTG